CTTCTCGACTCCATTAACCCACTGATGTCGCAGCAAGGACTCAAATTCAAGTGCAAAGTTGGAGTGCCGTCCTCGTGCTCCCGAGTGATGTTGGGTTGAATCCTTGGCGGCGAAAGCCGACAGATGTTTGGAAATCTTGTAACGACGAAGGGAAAGCTGGTTTCCACGGAGCCGTCAGGTCCCCACAGAGCCAGGCCTGCATCTGGGGCCTTGGAGGGCGCATACGTTTAGCGGGACTCTCACTCAACCGCGCCAGCCAGCGTGGCCAAGTCGGTGATGTTCACACTTCAGATTGGGAAGCAAATCATGAAATCGACTTTGGGGTAAAAACAAGCTTTTTAAAAGTGACATGGAAGAGAGCAGCGAAGAGTGGGGTAGAGCAGTCTTTTAGAAAGGACCGGAGAACAGAACTGAAGGAAGCCGTAGAAGCCTTTGTCTAGTAAAGCTGGTTTCTGGTGCGTGTGCCCCCGTGCGTGTGCGTGTTCCTACGTGTGTGTGCATTTGCACGCACCTGAGCAGGGCACCACGTTACCGTGTGCTGGGTTGGTTCCTGCCCACGCCAGCCACATATGCACACACATATCTCAACTCTCTTTAGAATCATCTCCCCTGATAACTTGAAATGGACCATGCTAGAAGCTTCTATACCGTGGAAATAGGCCAGTCGGGCTTCCAGGCAATAGGGCTCCCCTGTCCTGCTCCCCAGGAGAACTAGCTGTTGAGCACTTACCAGCATCCCCACCCCCCGTTTTGGTCACGAAGCAAACAAACAAGACACTAGCCGCGTGAGTCACTGGAGGATCTGAGATGTGTGTCTCGATAGATCAGTTTTATATCTTTTGTGGGACACAGGGAATCAAGAAGACAGGTTGTCTGCGCGAATCTGTGACTCGTTGGTTCAACGCGGCCTTATTTAGAAGCTCAAGTTATTCTGTCTGCTCGGTGACACATCAAGGTTTTGTTGGTGACTTTCGTTGTCCCTTAGATTTGATAACGACATTTTATGAACAGGGATATGTTGCTGTGGCCTCAGTGTTGTGTCCCCGCCCCCCAAATTCATACATTGAAATCCTGGCTCTCAAAGACAATGGTGTCAGGAGGTGAGGTCTTTGGGAGGTGAGTGGGTCAAGGCGGTGGAGCCCTCGGGAACAGGGATCAGGTCTCCCAAATGACCCCGGAGATCGTCCTTGTCCCCTTCCCTGACGTGAAGACACAGGGAGAAAGTGGCCGCACCAGAACCCGACCGTGCTGGCACCTTCCTCTCAGGCTTCCAGCCTCCACGACCGTGAGAAATACTTTTCTGTGGCTGGTTCGCCATCGCGCCAGTGGGATTCTGTCGCAGCCGCCCAAAGGGACCAAGACACGTACAACTGGCGAGACCCCAAGGCTTCGCTTCTGCACGCAGGCCCTCTCCAGGGCGCGGCACTGTGTTACCCTAAGCGGACTCAGGCCTGGAAGACGTGGTCTCCCTCGGCGGTGCAGGAGGCGGGTGAACCCTAGCGGAGCTCCAGGTTGCCGTGCTGGCTCCTGCTTTTGCTGAGCAGCAAACGTGCACCCAGTGGATGTGCTTCCCCATTTCCTGCGGGGAATGGCCTTGTGGAAACGGTGCTTTAGAATCCTGAGTCACTTATGGCCAGTGACTCTCAGGTCATAACCCTTCACCGAGGGTCCCAGGACCATTCCTGAAGTGCCCCTTCCCGAAGTGCCCCTTCCCGGGCTCCCCTCTCCCGTCGCCACTTTGGGTTCCGAGCTGCACGCAAGCAGAGGAGTGTGTGGGCTACTGGCGCACCAGACGGTCCTCAGGGCCCCGGTAGGTGGTCCAGTCGGCAGGGGCTTGTCTTGGGTCTGCATTCTTTAAGCAAGCGCCTGTCCCCAGGTGTTGTGGGCTTATCAGGCTAGCTTGGAAAGAGCAAGGAGGGGCCCCTGGAGCTTAGGGAATCAAGAAGGCTTCTGGCGACATGCTCTCCAGCGTCACCGTGGCCCAGCTTCGCCTCACCGGGCTCCGCACCACCGCCGGGCCACTCATCCTGGAACATCGGGTCCAATCAGCTCATCACGAGGCAGAGTTGTCACAGCCTTTGGCAAAGCCACTTGTCACCTCCTTCCAGGAGTTAAAGAAATAAAAAGAAACTACAAGGGGGCGAGTTGTAGGGCCTCTGTGTGTGTATGTGTGTGCACACATGGGCGTGTTTAGTTACTTCCCAGCACCCGCTTAAAAATAGACACTTCGCACGCCCATTTCCAGGCGGCCGTGTGGACCCGCGGCTCCTCTGGGGAGTCCAGAGAGGGCCTGCAGGTCTGGGCACAAAAACGTGCAGCTGAACCACTGTCCCCTCGGTGCCCCCCCTCTGCTGTCCGACCTCCTGCCCGAGCCCACAAGTTTCCCTGCACTGAAATTAGGGGGGAAGAGACACATTTCTGGACGTGCACTGTTCTTTCAGAAGTAGGCAGGCAAAAGTTAGAGGAAAGGGATGTGTTCCGAAGGCAAATGGTAGAAAAGACATCTTTCCTCTGGGAAGTGAGAAATAGCGGTTGACTGTTCAGTACACACAACAAAATAATGGCCGTGTCTCTCCTGAAAGGCTTTGGATTGAGAAGCCTCAAGAACGTAGGGGCACTGCGTCCCTCACCTGGAGGCGACGGGGCTTGAGGGGAGGATCCCGGGGCGGGGTGGGGGGGCGGTGCAGGAAAGGACCATGGCCCCCTCCCCCCGCCACACACACACCAGCTCCTGTGTCTCCTGGTCACTACTTTCCTGGAAAGGGGTCTCTGTCATGCACTTGGTGCTTCACATGTGATTCCAAGAGGGCCACCTCCTGACAGGTTTCCTTCCAGGAAACACGGCACAGGAAGGGTCTGCTGGAGGAGTCGGGTCATCTTCTGTTCAGTGCTGGCAAACGTTTCTGCTCACCAAGCCTTCTTCCCCATGTTTCTTCCACCCCGAACGCGAGCACTTTATAACAACTGTTCCCCCAACTTCGGCCACTTACGTGCATTTTCATAATTTGTCCTATCTGCATACCATCTGTACTGCTGCTGATTTAATACTTTTTTTGAAGCCAATTCCATTTATTTTTAAAGAAAGTGTTCATAGTTGGAAAGCCAGGATCATGCGCCATAAATAGAATGTAGCCATGAAAATGGAAACAGTGGAAAACAAAAGCCACATCGTTAAATTCTGTCTGAGCCTGAGGCCTTCTCTCTTGGTTAGCAAGGATTTTAGCATCAAACTAAAACTTTCTCTTCCAAATACACTCTTCAAACAGAAGGGTGGAAAGAGAATTAAAATAATCATCATAATAGGGGTGCCTGGGTGGCTCAGTTCGTTAAGCATCTGATTTGGGCTCAGGTCATGATCTTGTGGTTCATGAGTTCGAGCCCTGCATCAGGCTCTGTGCTGACAGCTCAGAGCCTGGAGCTGCTTCAGATTCTGTGTCTCCCTCTCTCTCTGCCCCTTCCCCACTCCCACTCTGTCTCTCTCTCTCTTTCAAAAATAAATAAGCATTTAAAAAAATTAACTTCAGGGGCACCTAGGTGGCTCAGTCGGTTGAGCGTCCGACTTCAGCTCAGGTCATGATCTCACAGTCCGTGAGTTCAAGCCCCGCGTCGGGCTCTGTGCTGACAGCTCGCAGTCTGGAGCCTGCTTCGGATTCTGTGTCTCCCTTTCTCTCTGCCCCTAACCCACTCGCATTCTGTCTCTGCCTCTCTCAAAAATAAATAAGCATGAAAAAAATTAAAAAAAATTTTTTTTAAATCATAATAAACAACTCTGCCACTATGGGACTTACCATTAATTAGTCACTGGGTATAATCTTGTTGCCACTGACGGGCTGGCACTGAGCAGCTGTATATGCGCGTGTAACGTATGAGTGTGAGCGTGTTTTCCACCAAACACGTGGAGGGATTACGGGGCCATTCATTTTCCATGTTGCAGATTCTAGCCTTTGATACATTTATTAGGTTAAGTAGCCTTTTTCCAGGTAGACGGGTTGTTTTCCCAAAGTCCTCGAGACAAGTGTGTGTCCCCCACCACGTGCCTTGTGGGTCCCCAGGGAGCCAGAAAACCTACAGCGGGGACACCACAAGACAGATGGGACTCAGAGTCGTGTGGGAATCCACACTCAATCGGGTTCTCAGGGGCGCACCCGTCGTATAAAGTGGGGGAACACGGCGAGGTCACAAGCTCAGCTAAACCCAGGATGGCAGAAAGGACAAAGGAAGTGGGCGATGCTGTTCCCAAGGAAGGTGCCGTCTGCTGCCCCCCGGAGGACAGGAGCTGCTCCTACAGTGTCACACCCCTGCCGGCTTGAAACACCAAGCGTGCTTCATTTTCCAAGCTGCTTGGAGGAAATCAAGGTTCGTTCTCAAGAGATGTGTCCCCCCAGAGTCTCCGAATCCTGAGCACTCAGACCTGCGTGTGGAACAGAGCAGCACCTGCTTGACCTGCGTCCCCGTCCAGGGGACAAGCGGATACCCCAGAGGCCCGTGGAACGAGAGGCAGGGTCCCCGGGCCTTCCACCTGCCTGCACTCCCCAGACAACGGCTACGAGCATCTCCCCGGGCCGAGTGGCTTTCTCGTGCTTACAGACAGCCGTTTTCCAAGCCACTTGGCTCCTACATGTGAGTCAGCCAATTAATCTGCTGCTCGGCTGAAGAAATAGCTCTGTGTTGGTTTGTTGTGCAGTTTTGGGGGCTTTCAGAGACCATGTGGGCCACACATAAGGCATGCCTATGCACCGGCTTAGACTTTCTCTTCACGGGACTTTCTCCTTACATGACTCCTCCGTGTTTCTGTACAAACCTAGCCTTTGTAGCGATAAACTAGCTGTAAAGACTTACAAAGCCTCATAATCTTGGTGTGGTTTTCATTTTAAAAAGGCAGACTCTACTTATTTAAAAAGGAAGAAATTTGGCTAGAAAAGGAACGTCGGCTACTTTTGGGAAATCCGTAGAAAGAAGAAAGCAGGGATGAGGGCCACGTGTATGGCGCATCAACTTACTTCAGGACCCACGATCACCATGTAAACATTAGGCTCTTCTCGATGCCATTCTTGGGAAGAAAAAGAGAAAAAAAATAACGTTAATGGTTTTATGTCACAGCTGAAAACATTATTAAGTTTAACATTAAGTTCGTGATAATATGAGTTATTTCATACTATTTGGCTCTCGTTCATACAGTCAAATTATATGTAAAATAAAACCCTGGATTGTGAGTAACTTGTTCTGCACGTGTTCCACAAAATGAGCAAACATTTCTAATAAATTTTAACTTGATAAATGAGCGATGTCTTGCAATACGAGTCATACATGATGTGCAATGTCACATGATCACAGCTGAGCCAATGGTTCTCTCTCTCTTTCTCTGCAGGATTGTGGGTGATTATCTCCCACACTCGGTCTCAGGCTGTGGTGTCTGGCAGAAATCAGTGATTTTTCAGAATGTTAGAAGGTGCCCATAATGGGCACTGGTGTATTTTCTGTCACTTCAAAGCACCTGTGGACAGTCCTTTGCTTTTCCATCTAAGAGTGAGCTTAGGAATGCTTTGCTTCATTCCAGGTCAGGCTGCCTGCGGATATAGACCCGTTCCTCTGCCACCTTATTGCCAGTTACATTAAATACAGAATATGACAAGAGTTTATTAATAAAGTCAACATCCGTGTGAGCATATATAATGGCCCCCATGCAGAAAAAGGTTCCATGGAGCCAGTAGATGGCAGTGGTTCCGTTAGTGATTGTGAAAGTCGTCCTACAAAATAACCCTCCACTCTCGTCTCCCTCACACCAGCCACGAAAGTTTTCAAAAGTAAGTTCAGGTTAATTTGTTTATTTTTCTCTATGCTTTGTATTTTCTTTATTATTTTGTGTTATATTACAGTATTGTCATCATTTTTATATGAATATGTTTGGGTTGTGTAACGAATCATCTGAGTGTCCATTATTTCTTATGGGGAAATTTGCTTTGATAGATAAGTGCTTCGGATTACAAGCATGTTTCTGGAATGAATTATGCTCTCAAACCAAGGTTTTCCTGTATTTGAAACGTAAATGTTGAATACCTTATGCTTTTACGTAAAATGCTCCCTTTTGGAACGTTACGCACTGTCCAGATCTCCCACCGACTGGACCACCAGGAGTAATCACTGAGCAAACCAGCATGGAATTTGGGATGCACCAAAGCATTTAACTCAAGCTATGCAACAAAAGTCCAAATGCATCGTACAAACTGACGTGTGTAAAATATTTTTGGATTCATTTACATTATTCTTGCAATTATTCACTATTTTTGTTATTTCCTCAGATGCCAAGGGCACCGGAGGTCACTATGCAGCATGGTTCCTTTTCTGGTTGTTTCAGAGTAACCATCGAGAAGCCATTCTGCTCGTGTGGAAACACAGAGACAGCAAAACTCAAAACCCTAAAGACGGAAACGCAAAGGCCAGACCCCCAAACAGAGCTCCATAAACCAGATGTACCTGAGAACGCATCCACCAGATAGAGAGGGTCCTTCACTTGTCTCAGCCCACACACCAGGAGGAAGATGTGTAAATTATCAGCACTTTGGTTAATCCCTGCAACAGAGGAGTTGAGATGTTTTCAGAGAGGGCAGAGAGGGGGCAGCTTGATTCCATGAGGGTAGATCTCAGAAGCCACGGGGCCCTGACCTCTAACCTTCACACAACACGGCGGGGAATAGTTTGTCCTGGTGGGAAAGCTGAGCGGAGCTCAGCCCAGTAAACACAACTCCTCTGTGCAGTGAGAAGGGGTAATTATTACAGAAATGTGGCCCTGGAAAATATCTGGAGACAATGCCAGTAAGATGCGGTTTTGTATAGTCATATGCTCTCGGGTCCGCACACGTACACATAGGTTCCCACACCGAACGCGGATGTGCCCACAAATCCATAATATAAAGGGGATAGGTCTCAGCGTGGCCCCTCTCCTGGAGAGCCGAAACCCGCTTCTTCACCCCTCTGCTCTGGGCTGGCTTGGTGACAGCATCGACCAGCAGAGCCCAGGGGAAGGACAGGGAGTGACTTCCGAGTCACAGCCGTGGGAGGCGCGTGCATCAGTCTCGCTTGCCCACTGGAGCATCACTACCTTCCGATCTGGCCTCCTTGATAACGAGGCTCTGCGGCCAGATGCCCCACCACCCCCGCTCGGGGAGGACACACGCAGGACTGGTGGGCCTCAGCCCACTGCAAAGGGAGCATGAGCCCAGCCACAGGCAGGTGAAGCTGGCAGGTGCCGCTCCCCGGGCCTGGGCCGAGCTGCCAGCCACTCCATCGTGAGAGACCAGCTGGTGTCTGAAGCCCCTTAATGTTGAGGTGCATTGATGTGGGGCTGCAGGTAAGTGACTCAGTAGAAATTACCCGTATAATTAGTGCAAGCTGACCTATGACTTCATCATTTCCACACATATGACTGGACGTAAAATCATGAGGTGGGGGGGTTCTCATTCATGCATTTCATTTCCCCCATGACTTAATACAAAAAGTTTCAGTTACTCTGTGCTTTTGCGGACCTTGGACAGTAATACAAATGGGGGTGGCTGTGAGAAGACACAGTGATGCCACCTTCGCACAATCACAAACGCTGGAGAATCACAACACTTGTGTGTGACCAAGTCTCAGAAAACTCTCTACTGAGAGGCTAAGGTTGGGATGTACCTCTGAGAAAACCCTTCAAAATACATCACAGTCTTTAAAGTAACTATTGACAATTGCATTGACGTATGTTGCATTTGTAAGATATTTCCCCAATATCCTGAGTACCCTGAGACTAAGCTTAGAAATACGAAGCTTAGGGGCACCTGGGTGGCTCAGTAGGTTAAGCATCTGACTTTGGCTCAGATCATGTTCTCATGGTCTGTGAGTTCAAGCCCCACGTTGGGCTCTGCGTTGACAGCTCAGAGCCCAGAGCCTGCTTCGAATTCTCTGTCTCCCTCTCTCTCTGCCCCATCCCCACTCATGCTCTGTCTCTGAAAAATGAATAAACCTTAAAAATTTAAAAAAAATACAAAGTTTA